ACTTCCATGGTGCCCTGGGGGCCCAACCCTTTTGAGAGCGCTCATGTACTGTCTTGCCATCCTTGATGCCACACTGCAGTGGTATAGGCAGGAGTGTGTGTGTGTGTCTGTGTGTGTAAAACTAAATAGAGAGACAAAGTTGGGAACAGAGAGGAGGGCTGGGCCAGGCTAAGGAGTTTGGACATTATTCTATGGGCAGTTGGGAGCCATTGAAAGTTTTTGAATGGTTTACTGATGTGATCATGGCTGAGGTGCATATTTCTTATTAAACCTTGATATCTCTGTTTCCCATGCCCCTCATATCCATTCTGTGAACAGCTTTATTAGTTCTACTTGCAGAATATATCCCGGACTCAACCTCTGCTAACAGTCATCACTGCCACCAGGCTCACCCAAGCCACTGTCATCTTACAACTGTGCTGCCATGGCAGCTTCTTTAGTGGCTGGCTGCTTCCACACTTGCACTGCCAATTCGTTCTGCATAGCAGAGTCCCCTTTTACTAGTGCAAATAAAACTATCCCTGTCCTGCTTAAAGCCCTCCATTGTCTTTTCATAACACTTGGAGAAAAATCCCAACTCCTTGCTGTACTCACAAGGCCTATAACCCCATGTGACCTGGGCCTGCCTCTCTCTGAAAGTAGAACTCCTGTTCTACCCGCCCTTCCCCCTGCCTCACTCAGCTCTTGCCACTCTGGCCTCTTTTGTATTTCCTGACCACCCAAGTTCCTTCCCACCTCAGGGCCTCTGCATTTGCTGGTTCATCTGTCTGGAAGGTGCTTTGCCCAGATCTTCACATGGTTGGCTCCTTACCAAAGAGCCTTCTCTGACCCTTGATGTAAAGTAGTCTGCACCCCATTCACACCCTCTGTCATTTACCAGGATTCATTTTCTTCACAGCACTTACTACTAACTGGTTGTTATTATTATTGTTTTGTGAGTTTATTACTTGTCTACCAACTTGCTCAGCTGGATGTGAGCAGGTACTTCATTCTGTTCACTGCTGTATCCCCAGTGCCTTGAAGATTCCTGGCACATAGTACATATTTATTAAATTAATTAAGTTGAAGACTTGAGTGACTGGAGCAGGGCGGCCAGATTGGTGCCTATTACAGTGTTTCCAGAACAATGTGAGTACATCGAGGTTCTTGTCAGTGGCAATGAAGCAGCGGAGGCAGGCATAAGCGCAATCATAGGGAGAACTGACAGGATTTGACATGGTTTGAAGTGTTGAGTCGTTGAAGAGGGAAGAGGTAGAGGGTTTTGAGCTTGGATAAGCTATAAGGAACCCAGGAGAAGTTCTTAGGTTTGGTGGGGGAAAGGAACAGTTCTAGAGGTGCCAAGAGTGAGTGCTGGTGGGGTGGAGGTATGCAGCAGGCAGTTGGAATGTAAGCTTATCCAGAGTTTCCCATTTCCTGAGAGGCATTGCTGCAAAGCAAGTGAGGACCATGGGCTCAGAGAGTCATCAGGGGAAGCCACGTTCAACTGTGGCATGGCTGTGACAAATCATTGAATGTCTCTGAACCTCAGGTTCTTCATGTGTAAAATGATAATAAAATACCTCATGGTAATGTGGTTCAGAAAGTTAAACTACAGAAGGTGAAAGCGTGGAAACTACCCTGTTGCAGGGTAGTTTCAATGACTCAGAATTCCCTGTCTCCTTTACCCCTTCTCTAAGAGACTGAAGATTAAAAAATTTATTCTAGTTCTGCAGTTTAAATTTGTGTTGTTTTTCTTTGCAAAGCGATGCACGTACCTGGTTTAAAAAGACGAACAATCCCCCCAGGCTTATAATGAAAATAACTGGTGCCCTATCCCCTAACAACCAATCTGCCCCACCCCCCGCCACAGTTTCCTCTCTCCTGAGGCTACTACTTTTAACTCTCTTAGCTATTTCTCTTAGAATTTATAGCTATAATTCAACATACCATGCTTATAATACTATTTCTTGATGTTTCAATTTTAGATGTTATTTGGATATCAAATTTAGATATTATCATCTTCACACCAGGGAAAGCGAGGATTTAGTTCTCTTATACTTGCAGCCCCCACCCTGACATACCCACAGGGCCTTTCCTCCTCTCAGTGTAGTACGTCCCTGTTTTCAGTTCATCAGTATCACCAGTTTATATTTTTGACTCTAGCTATTGACATCTGAGCTACATTGTGTACTATGATTCCATTTCCTTTCTTATGAAAATCCTTATTTCTTCAGTTAATATTGCCTCACAGTTTTTTAGTGTTCTTCCTTTGGGGTAGGGAGACCAATCACTCTTTCATTCTCAAACTTCTCTCAAAATTGAGAGGAAACACTTCCTCTCAATAATTTCAAATCCATCATGTGTTTTGTAAATTTAATTCTTTTTTCCCTCTTGGAAATATCTTTCCAGCCTCCTCTGGCTTCCTGCTCCGATTTGTACTGTTGCCTCTCTAAGCCTGCTGCGTAGCCATGTGTCATCCGGGAATCCCTTTGTCTTCTCTTGTTTTGGATCCCCTATTCTCAGATCTTATTTTCTTTCTCATTATTTACCTTACTCCTTCGTTTTGCCAAGGCACATTCATCTTACAGCTTTCTGAGAAAGAGTGCATGGGAGGTAAATTCTTTGAGACTTTGTAGAGCTTTATTCTACTTTCACATTTGATTGACATTTTGGCCAAGTATGGAATTCTAGGTTGGAAATAATTTTCCCTAAGTGTTTGGAAGACAGTACCTCCTAATCTTCTAGTTTCCAGTGTTGCTCTTGAGAAATCTGATGCTTTTGTGATCTCCTTGCTTTTCATGGATCTTTTTTCCCCATTTGGAAACATTTATACCTTTCTCTCTTTCCTCAGTATTGTGATGCTTCATAGTGATAGTCTTCATGGCACTCTTTTTTTCATGAGTTGTGCTGGGAGGTTGATGAGCCTTTTCAATCTGCTCACTCATCCTTCAATGCTTGGAAATGTTTTTAAATTATTTCTTGGAAATTTCTTCCCTTTCATTTCTTCTATTCTCTCTTTTTGAAACTCCTGTTATTCAGATATTGGATCTTCTGACCTGTTCTTCTGAGTTTTTAATTTTTTTCTCTCATTTTCCCTCTCAGTCTTTTTTACCTTGTTTTTTTTGTTGTTGTTGTTGTTTTTTTAACTTTTCTTTCACTCAATGCATTTGCCTAAGTTTCCCTGTGTTAATTTTTGATTATTTTGGTCTCTGTGTTTCTTAGAGGTCTAACTGAAACAACTAGTGATCCTAGGTTGTCTGAACTCTTTGAACAGTTAAGGACCAAGAAGCTGAACTGAAAACCTTCTGTATATAAGTCACACTTGTCTTCTAGAAGGTCTCTCAAGTAGATCTTTACTCTTAGCTGGTTGTGTCATTGGAAGGGAATATTCAGTCTCTTACTTGGAAGATATCAGCCTAACTTATTGCATGCTGAGAGCCTGTGGGTGAAGAGAGCTGGTTATTTCACTGTTCAGCATAAAGACTTCCACTTCAGCCCCTGTTCTCAATGTGGAGCCTCCCTTCTGCCCTGGGCTGAAACAGGTGCCCCCCCAGTCTCAAGTCCCTCTGGCTCAGCCTCTCTAGAGAGTAAGTATCCTGGCTTCTTCAGGGTCAAGGAGGAGTACCTTCCTCTGTAGGTAGGAATCTGGGACTCTAGATGAGAGGTTGGCGAAGTTTTTCTATAAAGAGCTAGAGAGTAAAGATTTTACTTTGTCAAAGTTTTTACTTTGTGGGTTCAGTTACATATTATTCTCCTCCTCTTTCTTCTTCTTCTTTTTTTTTTTAAATAACCCTTTAAAATGTAAAATAAACATTCTTAGCTTGCAGACAGTACAAAAACAGGCTGCAGACCAGACAGGTCATAGTTTACTGACCTCTGGTCTAGAGGATCCTTTTGGACACTCTAAACCAACTATCTTCATTTTAGCGCCATCCTGCACCCAGCCTTCAGAAGAACCTGAAACCTCCAGTTTCTGATTCTTTTGGAGTTTTATGACAAATCTGGGTGGTTTTTTATAGGTGCCCCCCAACTCCAACCAACCTTCTCCTCTACCCCCTCCTGTGGAAGCTGAGGGTTCAGCTTTCATGGGTCTCTTAGGTGAGCAACTACTTGTCCTTCTTCTTTCCATTTTCTAAAAGTTCAGTTTTTTTCTTGTCTGCCTTCTTCTCTGTCCTTATTGGGCCTTGCCTTTTTTTCTTCCTTTCCTCTCAGTTTACTGGGATTTGAGGAAGAAGTGGGGATAAATGCATGTATTTAATCTACTAAGTTTCACCAGAAGCTCCCCCCAAATCCAGTTTGGTTGGTTTTTATTTTTACTACTTTCTTTGATAGTGGTTGGGTCAATTTTGCATTTGCTCTCCACGTGCTCACTTGCTGTGCCAGATGTTTGAAGAAGATGTCCTTGGGGAGGAAAACTGAGGGATTTTAGAATGCAGTGTTCTTGAAATGCTTCCAGTGGTTCAGTGTGTGAGATCTCAGAGAGGCCTGGTCGTTTCTAACCACCAGATTCTCATAATAGAAATACATTTTCGCCCTTATTTGTGTAAACCATCAGGAGCATTTTTAAATGTTTGTAATAAAGCTTGTGGCTTATTGTTTAAAATTGAATTTAAGGTAGTAAATCAAAGCTTTTGGTGGCATGCTCATGACAGCAGGGAGAGCCTGGTAAGTGATCCCTAAGAGCTGATCAAAGGGAGCTGCTGAGCATTTTTTCCTATATTTGTGTTTTGGTCCTTTAATCTGGTGGTGTTTCCAATTCCATTTTGAATACAGTAATGCACACTCCACCCCCACTCAAGTCTTCTTGGCAGCATCTGGCACTGTCTTTGCCAAATGGCCCCTGTTTAGGTTTAAGCCTGCCTTTGCTATCAAGCCTGTACAAGGAATGAACAACGTGATTGTCAAAAAATAGGCTTCTTTCAAGATCTTATTCATTCCATATTTTTGAGCTAGTAATCAAAGGAAAATTGAAAATGAAAAAAGTAAAATTAACTGAAAAACGATGAGTCATTTGTGCCTAGGTTCACCTTTCCTGGCCAGTGAAGATGGAGTGCTTGGAGGAGTGATTGTTCTCCGATCTTGTAGATGTTCTACAGATCCTGACTCCTCCCAAAACAAGCAGACGCTTCTAGGTAAGTAGGACATATATGTTATGTGTGTGTCTGTGTGTCTTTCTCTTTCATTTTTTCAAGACATGGAAAGATTTGTATACTTAAATCAATAGTTTGAAGCTATGGTGGGCTAGGATGCTGTATTGATATCTAAACATCTCTGTTATACTGATCTTTTTAGATAGGTAAACATGTAAAAGATGAATATTTCTTTCTGAGTGCATGCTTAGAGTGTATTTTTCAAATGGACTTAGAACCTAGGACCTTTACTAAAGCCCACTATTAAGAACATTGGGCTGTGTATTTATCCCCTGCCTTATTCCGCAAAGCTTTTGAGATGACCCATAACAACATACACAGTAACATAGAAAGAAGCTTCTTCCTGTTCTCCTGCCAAAAAGGAATCAGAACCATGTGAAGAGATTCTGGCCTAGAAGTTCGTCTTGGCTCCATCGCTTATTAGCTAGGACGCCTTCATGCATCAGTCTTATTTTTCCATGCCATGTCCTCATCTGTAAAATAAGGATGCCTGACATAACCTCCTCATAAAGCTGTGGTGAGGAAGGGTCAAATGAGTGTTTTGCAGATTTGCAGATGTCCATCCAGATGTGTGGCTTTGTGTCTAGCCAAGTGCACCAGTGGGGATGGAACCTAACCTGCCCTCCATTTCCCAAGGCATAAAGTTGTGGGGCTGCCTCTGCCCCCAGGGGTGCCTTTTTCTAATTCATTCATCCAGATGGGGCATTTAAAAAAAATCTACATGAAGGTCACATAAGCTATCAGGGGTCCTGTATATTGTTTTCTTAAATTGACTTTTTAATTGAAATGTACATTCATTCAGAAAAATCCACAAATCACAATTGGAGCTGCTTGATGAATTATTACAAACTGAACCCACCCATGTAACCAATATCCAAATAAAAAATAGAACTTTACCACAACCCCAAAAGCCCCTCTGTAACCCCACCCAGTCTCTATCCCCTCCAAAGGTAACCGTTATCCTGATTTCTAACCATGATTAGCTTTGTTTAGTTTCATATTTATATAAATGGAATTATAGAATATGTACTATTTATGTCTAATGTCTTCAGTCAACATTAAGCCTGTTAGATTCATCCTTGTTATATGTGGCAGTAGTTTGTTCATTTTCATTGCTGTATAGTATCCCTTGTATGGATATACCACTATGTATTTATCCATTCTTCTCTAAGTATTTTTTTTATATAAGCACTATAGGTCATTCACAGGAGCTGTGGTAGTTCAACTCTTTGTAAAAATTGCCTTACATCAAGTGTGGTTGGTGCCTGATCTATATTGTACGATTGTTGTGAATTTCTATAGTACAAATTCTCTTCATACCCTTAGGTTCAATGAGTCTGTAAAATAGAAGACTGAGCATTTCTTATGAATGTAAAAAGTATTTTTTTCTACAGAAGTCCAAAGAGCTTTCATAAAATCTCTCCTCTCATTCCTCAAAGAAAAAAAATTGCTGTTAAATAAAGCCTCTTTCTCCACCTTGATTCTGATGACCAACCTCATTGTTTTTCTTGCTGTATTCTCTCACTGTACTTGGTACCCAGGTTGCTCCTGGGAAGTGTTATTTTAAATGGCCATCTTTGTTAAACCAAAGCAAATAGCAGTTTGCTTCTTTGGTATCTTAATCACTGATGACTCCTTTGACTATCTTCCACAGTTAGATAGTGGAGTTTGCTTTTAAAATGTGCAAAGGGTATACTTGGGTTCCATAAAAACTGAGAATAAGGGGGGGCAGTTATTAAAACTGCTTCATGGACTGTTCCTAGGATGGAGGATCAGTTCTTTACTGAGCCCAGACTCTTGCCCATTCAAGTTAATCCTGAAAATTGTAAGGTTTTTTTGGTTGTCCTTTCATTTTTGGTGGAATAGTATAGAAATACATATTTAAGGATAAGTCATAGAATTTTAGCTCATGCAAAATAGTTTTTATCACCAAGGTAGTAATTTGTAAATTGATTCCTACTCTCTGTCTCAAGAAGAAGAATGAAATGTAAAGTGTCAGTTTATGATTTCATAGTGAAATTTGTTAAAGTTAGCTACAGGGATTGATGTTTGTGAAGTTTACTAAAACCTGGTGAACATAGGCTAGTATCAACTTACAGATGCTACCAACTACATGAATTTTTACAATTTTTGCTTTTAAAAAGTTATGTATGTTCAATATGTGGTAAGAAAGCAAACACAGTCCAGAAGGGTACAAAAGGAGAGTTAAAGTCACCTTGGCCACTCTGATGCCAGAGCCAGCAGTCTCTGATCCTGGTTATTCTCATAGGAAATACTTTCACTCTATAGAATGTGCTCATGTGTCTATTTCATTTTTTTTTTTTTTGGCTGAGGAAGGTTCCCCCTGAGCTAACATCTGTTGCCAATCTTCCTCTTTTTGCTTGAGGAAGATTCGCCCTGAGCTAACATCTGTGCCAGTCTTCCTCTATTTTGCATGTGGGATGCCACCACAGCCTGGGGCTGATGAGTGGTGTAGATCTGTGCCCGGGAACTGAACGGGGGCCATCAAAGCGGAGCATGCCAAACCTAACCACTAGGCCATGGGGCTGGCCCCTTCTATTTCTTGATTAGTCAGTACCTTGTGACTCCTTTTTGTGATTAGTCAGTAACTTTTGGGAAAAAATTAAGAAAGTAGCTCACACTGTTCCTGCTCCCCTTTCCTCCTGACTTTTGTTAGAATTCTACTCTAACTTGAAATCATATATTTTAATTTCATTGCAACTTTTAACACACTATTTTTTGATTCATCTATCTAATTTTTATCAACCATCCCTCATGCCTTCGACTGTGTAAGTTTAGGAAAGTTCATGCACTCTTTTCTTCCCTCACTCCTAACCCTCACCTCAATCTCTAGCATTCATACCATTATTGTCATGGTTATTAAGATTTGCATCCTATGCTATAGCTAACTTGTCTTCTTTGATTAGAGGTTGATTTCAAACAGGGACAATTAGTAACCAGCATTGACAGTATCAAGATTATGTAAATATTATTCACTGCAGATCCAGTAGTGGAAGATTGAACCCATACAAAGGGAAGTACTTGTCACAAACCTCTGCCTGTAAAAGGAGAATATTTCAAACATCAAGCTCAAGTCGATTGTCCTGTGCTGTACCCCATCTGTTGCTCCAGATCAGTCCACAACTTAATTTGCTTCATGTTTGGACCATGATTTCCCATTTATTGCTTTATAAAACTATCGTGAAATTAGAATTTCATAAACTCATGGCTCCTTAATGCTTAGAAGTATCTAGTAACCAGGAAGGCTCAGAATTCTTTCTTTCCTACACATCCAAATAAAACAATTCCAAAAATTAAAAAAAACAAAACAAAACCAACACTTAACTGCTGTATATTGTTCAATCACTTTTTTGTCCCAAGAATAGTACAATCAAAACAATCTCTAACTTCAGCTTTTTCTGTATCCACTCTTTTCTGAAAATCTTAAATAGTGTTTCCATTACACCACAAAAACAGTTTCAATCAAATCCTACTGTCACTTGGTGGAGTTACCAGGAAGCCATTACTGAGCCCCTCCTCTTGGCAAATACATCAATTACAAGAGCCCCAGTGGGCCACTTCAAGGGTGGGGTGACTCAGATGTAGAGCACTTTCAAGGTTCGTTCTTTGCTTACTGATTCATGAACAGAGTTGGAGAATCTCAGGGATAAAGGAACTTTCAAAGTCCTCTGTGTGACCTTGTTACTTGTGCTTTGTCCATAAATTGCTTACAAGAGGTGGATATTAATTCCTTTCCCCTTGACTCACTTCCAACACATAAGAATATGGCAGAATGACAGTGTGTGACTTCTGAGGGTAGGTTTAAAAAGGCGTTGGGGCTTCCTCCTTGCTGTCTCTGTTGGATCACTCACTCTGGGTAAGACCAATGGCCAAGTCGTGAGGACGCTCGAGCAGTAGTATGGAGAGGCCCATGTGGAAAAAAACTATGACCTCCTTCTAACAGCCAGTGAAGCACTGGGGCTTCTTGCTAACAGCATCAGCACTGAGTGAGCCTTCAGGTGACTGGAGCCCTGGGCAGATTTTTTCATTAAAATCTCACGAAAGACTTTGAGTAAGAACTACCCAACAAAGCCATTCCTGAATTCTTCACCCATAGAAACTGAGATAATAAATGTTTGTTGTTTTGAATCACTAGATTTTGGGGTAATTTATGCTGCCGTAGATATTTAATAAACCTTTTAAATCCTCTCACTGCCAAATGGCCCTCTAGTTTGTCTAAAGAACTACAATGGCAAATCAAGGTACTCTGTTGCATCTTCAGGCAGCTCAGACTGTCAGACTTCAGCTTGCATCAGTGGATCTTGGTTCCCTTCTTTGAGATCCTTTCGGACAAATGTGAGCAGTATCCTTCTACTTTGCAGTTCCTAATCACTCTTTTCCAGACTATCTCCTTAGGCGCTCCACCTGTGTTCCTCTCCCACCTCCATACTGCCATCCCACTTCTCTCTCTAAAACTTGTAGCTGGCGCAGAGAACCTAACTATGGCCTCAAAAACAGGACAGTTGGGAGAGAAGCAGACTGCTGTGAAGCAGGAAGGGCAAAAATGAAAACTTGACCTAGTTGTGGCTTAGAGAACCACACCAATCCCAGGGTCAGAGGACTAGTGGTCAAAACAAAAACCATATAAGTATATGTAGTTAGTTTACTATATGCCTAAGCTAAATGTTGAATAACTTTCTATGTATGTTAAAATAAAAGGAAAGCATGTATCTCTTACTATCACTCCCATCTCCCTAATTTTAATTCTTCAAGGAGGAGATACATACACAAACACACACATACACATACTCTCTCCCTCACAGACACTCCTATCTCTGCCAGTCTTTTCCCTAGAAGATAGATGGGAACTACTTAACTTGATGGGAAAAACCCTCCGCTGATCTAACCCCAGAACATGCTTTCAGTGTCATTTCCAGCCAGTCCTTCTTTTCTTCCACTCATCTTCAATGCCCTGAGTTCTG